CTCAGCACAAGCCATTGCACCCAGATTTTTCTGATACAGAGACCTGGACACCTTGCAGACCTCGGGAGCCTCCTTGGGATGGATGTGGCAGCAGTCCTCCCCCCGCTGCTCCGCTCGCCGGTGCCCTCTTCATGCATTCCAGGGAGCGCCGTACAGAGGGCCATTGTGTAGGCCGGCAGAGAGTACACAGAGGCAGCCCCGGCATTCACGCCCACAAGATCGCCTCAGGATGCCATGAATAGCGGCTGAGCCCCGCGGGGTGCTCCCCTCCTTCCGCCCTCTCTACTCCATGGCTTCTGCTAGAGATCTCCTGCTTTTTTTTATCTTCCCATCCGTCGGACTTCATATTTCCGACCTGGCTGTCGTGTGAAGAGGGGATGTGATTCCAAGACATGGCAATGAGGTCTTTGTGAGGATTTGATCTTGCAAGTTTCCTGCCACAGTCCTTAGTATTACATGAACTACGCTAGTTGACAGCCAGGCCCAATACAGTACATCCCTCCGTTAGCTCTGAATACCACGACTCCTAGGTTGGGATGTATTTAGTGGGAGATTTTCACCAACGAGATCATATTTCATCTCAATTCATTATGCAGGAGGAGGGAGAGGGGGGAGGGAGCCAAGGGAAGCAGGAATAAAAGAAGACAAAGACACTTTGCGTAGTTCAATCCAGTGAAATCCCAGTGCTGAGCCTTGCCTCAGGCATGTGATGCTACATTTGTCTAATATAGCTTTGCAGTGCCTTTGAGGTAAGAATGTTTCATTGCTACACCAGTTGGCACCATTTAGCGCCCTTTTGGTCTCACTCCTAATACTTTGATATAATTGATAACCAATGCTTTGTAAAGATGGCACATGGTCAACTTTCTTCTAGATATTTCACTTCTCAGTTACAGTCTTAAGTTCTGCTTTTCACGTGAATTAGTATCTCTAAATTACCCTTTGTGTGTTTGTGACTAACATTACATTCAGATTGTTTTCTGAATTATGCCCAAAGGTTCCTAATAGTCTGTCTATCACCATAACCTTGAATGGAGGGAAATTTTGCTATATTTTATGCCTTCGTGAGTTTCTGGGCATCCTTAGAATAAGCACAATCAGGCTCTAAGCTGGTACCGTTAATGGCAATCGGGCAACCCAACCTGTTGCATAATTCCAAGAATAATCCAAAATTACAAAAATAATGTGGAAGTATAATGGATGTTTATGCTGTGAACACAAGTTCTATCTGTCTGTTTAGGGCAGTGCATAGCTTAGCAGATCAGTACTCTGTGCCCATGGCCAAACGGTCACCTGGTGAAATCCCAAGGCTGGCGGAGTGATGTCACTGTCGGCCCCTTGAGCAACACGCTTAGCCCCAGTTGCTCCTAGCGTCAGTGCTCCATACCCGTGAGTAGGAGGTCACTAGTTCAAATCCCAAGGCTGGTGGAGTGATGTCACTGTTGGCCCCTTGAGCAACACCTTCTGCCCCTATTGCACCAGGGTTGTTGGCAAGCTGGGTGCTCTGACTGCTCAGCAGTCTATGTGCCTGTGTGTCTCATGGAGAGCAATATGGAATATGCTAAAACTACCCTGTATCCCCCTGGCAATGAATGAAGCATCATTATTCTGTCTAGGTGTAAGTTCTTTTATCTTTTCTGTTTTTCCTGGGAACAAAGAACAATTTGTCTTCTTTTACCTCTTGTTTCTTTATTGACTATGAGAAGTATTAGTAGACACAGATCTACCACAACAAAGAGTATAGTATTGTCACAGGGCTTTCCATTTCACATGACACCTCAAAGAAGTTTACAATTGTGTACTCAGCCAACAACATACAGCTACATTCTCTGTGCTTAGGAAGAACAGGGCTATAGCCAATGAAGCTGCTCATATGAGCCGGAAAAATGCAGAAATGTCATTTACTTATGGAACCTCTAGCTGAATTTGGTCATTCTTGGTATGTTGATGGAAGGCAGTATAAGAATGTTTACTAAGTTCCAGCAATGCCTACTGGGAAATAAGCTACCTGATGTGTGTGTGAACGGAGAGTAACAGACAGAATGACGGCTGCTATAGGAGGAAATTTGTGCTTGAGACACAGAAAATGCTTTTTGCTGAGTCTGAGAGAGGAATATGTGTATATACACATGTACCAAACAGTTATGTACAGCTTTTTTGGTACAACTTGGCACTGGCTTTGCTTAATGTCTAGTTTTAAACCATATAAACTTCCAATTTCAATTAACTTCATATCATTTTAAAACAGCTCTGAACATATATAGATCCACTGTAGTTGTACCAGGATGATTCTATATTTGGTTTTATGAATTTCACATTTGATTCATACCTGGTTGTCTTAAGCATTGCAAAATACTTAAACTTTATATGGCATGTCATTCTTTTTGATCTTGTTGCCCTTATTGAAGCCATTCCTGAAAGCTCATTCCAGTACCTAGGAGGCCAGATTTTCGATTCCAATATTCAGCTGTTTGGTTACATTTGGCCCTCTTATGTAACTGACTTCAAACAGTTTGATGTAACACTATTTGGTGATATAACTAAAATCATAAGATATAATCGGATGATATTGTGTATATGTCACTTTTTGGTCAAGTAGAAGGAGACGTAAGGATAATATGAACATAAAAACACAAAAGTGTGAAGATACATTATATTTTTACAGAAATTTTACTCATCCTAAAGACCTGAAAGTGACCTCTGACCTAATGAAAGGAGCTTTGGCTTATTGCATGGTTAGTAAGCACTCAAGAGGGGGCCACTTTTGTTACCCTTAAGTGAGGTACTTTTCCTGACAAATTTTTAAAACCACTGACAGCTATTAAATATTTAGAAACTGTATAGATATTCCTTTTGTATTTCATAGGATTGTGTGAATGTCAATGTATTGAATTTCTAATGAATTGCTCAGCAAGAGTCTGAACACCCGGCCTGTTTTCGATGGGCTATCCCTTGTGTGATATTGATGGAACTCCTTCTAATGAGCTCAGAATCTGGTGGTCCCACAGACGTGTGACATTTTGGAGAAAGTCTGGGTGACAGCACCATTACACTTTGTTAGCTCAGCTGCGGCATGGAGCAGGACCGAGGGTGGTGTTGTTGCCTAGACAGGGGGAACACCAGATGGGATGCCGATCGAGTGCTCTGCACCTAGAAGCCCACGTCCATCACCACAAGGCAAAATCCTTTATTTGCTCTCACTCTGGAGTCCTTTTGTGGCACATATGGGGTATTTCCATTGCAATTTATTTCAAAGCATAAAGAAAAATGTATTTATTTTGCTGTAAACTCACGTTTATGGATATGAATATAGCAGGGTTATTCAAATCACGGTCCTCGAAGTCCGAGCACTGCTGGTTTTCCAGCCTTCCTTTACCTGCCAGTCAGGTGAGAAGCCTCTGACCAATCAGAATCAGTAATCATTAAACTAACTACCTGGGAGAACTGAAAACAAGCCTGGATTTGGAATCGAGGTCCAGATTTGAAGAGATCTGGAATATAGGATCATGTTGCCCTGTTTAATGTGCAAGTTCTCAGGTGATGAATTTATCATCAATTCAATTTACACAAAAATACTAAAACACAGCCACTATCCCCCATGACAGCTTTGAATCATAGTTATTTACTATTGACAAATCTACCAAGCATTCAAGCCTCCTGTAACGGTGGTTCCTGACCCACACTGGTTGAACGCCAACACGATGCCTTACAGGCCTGCTTACTGTACTCTGTGTTCCATTGAATGGTGCTCCCAGTCTTAACCCCTTCATAACTAGAACCAACGTTCTCCAATAACTATTTTGGAGGATTTACGCGGAGAATGTTCTGGAATGTAATTAATATTGCCTAAATGATTCACTCCTAAAAGGAATCAGTCAGTTAGAGCAGTCAAAGGTGAGCTTAACTGAACGTTTGGTAATATAGACAACAAGCAAAGCATAGACGTGACAAAGCTTTTAAGGATAAAAGCAAAGATCGAGGGTTTATATAGATGACAATTTTGTAAGCTGGCTTACACCAGCAGATTCATACCAGCATTAAAGCTGTCTATGTCCAAATGTCATTTGTGTCTGACCATGATAATATGTGCCATGTCCCAGCCACCAGCTTAGGTAACAGACCATGCAGCTGGTCCCATTATGACCGCTGCTGCATGACTGACTATCAAACGGACTAACCAGGTGACTCTGCTGCTGAATTCCCCTTCAGCATATATATGCTTGTTACTCTGTGCTCATTATGCTGCCCAGGCAACTTAATTCTTAACTTGACATGTTTGGATATAAGGTTAATAGGAACGTGACTGTCAATAAGTGAACACAACCTTATTACAGTGGATTCACAGCACTAAGTAAAATGGAAATCTCATCTTCGCATCTTTTCTTGGACAAAAAAAATAAAAGTACAAACCACCACACAACTAAACACAATTGAATAGTGGTGGCGCGTGCTTGCACTTAATTCAGTTAGAAATCTGTCAGAATTTATAGGCATGAAATGGCAGTAGAAGCTGTCATAATAATTTACAAATTTATATATATATACAAAAACCAGGTCACTCCTATACTAAAATTGCAACACAGTTCTTTAGTGATTATACGGTTTCATCGGAGCAAAATTACGTGTAGAGCTGTAGCACTGCGTCAAACGTCCGCGCATAACTTATTATAATTCTGTTTTATTTATGCATGTGCCGCTGTCGGATTTTAGCTTTGTCGAAATCAAGTTTTCACACTACTACTTGTAATATAATGGACTTTTTGCATCTTCTGTCCGTTTGACCCAATTCCGAAATTTTCTCAAAATCATTACTATATATGTATAGGCCTATATCCCCATTCTCATACAGGCTACATATTTATTTATTAAGTTAAAAACTCAGAAAGGTCCATCGTTGCTTAGCGATGAAACTATACTGAGCCGATCTTCAGTACTCTGCCGGAGGTGTGTGTAAGAGCGAACCTTGGGAGAGAGAGGCGAGTAGGGAGTGGAAGCTCGTGTTTCAGCTTTGCTGGGGGTCGGGGTGCCTGTTCTGAGGGAATATCCGAAGATCCATTGGAGACAGAACCGACATAAAACCTCAGTACCTGACCTGGTGCGGTGGGTGCTGAGCGTTTACGGGGGCCTGCTATTGGATTCCCCATCAGTTTTGGAAGGTTGACTTATGGTGCGGTAGTCAAAGGGGACACAAGAGCCGCGTCTGCTCCCTCACCTTTGCTTCTTCTTTTCCCCGAAGACCTTGCATGTCTAATTTTCAGACATGCTCAGCTTTGCGGATTCCAGGACTTTTCTGCTCATTGTAGCAGCCCAGATATTTTTATTAGCCTTTGTGAAATGTCAAGAAGACCGTAAGTCGCACGTTTTCTTATATATATAATTTTAACAATGGTTGGCGACATTCTTTATTTTACACATAGTTAATATGATGAATGAATGATTGATATGTAATGAACATTTGCCACATATACATAACGAAATCTTAAACGTGTACTCTAATATATTGATGCATTTCTTTAGTTTATTGGATATGTAACTTTCAGTTGTCAGGCATTTATTAGATGGATTTTTCATCAGTCATTTATTTAATATTTTAACAGCTTGATTAATATATAAAATCATTCCATATGTGCTACTTCTGTATTTTGAGTTACATTTGGTTAATATACAGTCTATTGTTTAATGTATTGATTTTTGTGTTTTACACTGTAAATCATATTGGCTATATCTGGATAAAATTATTTCACAAAACTTTGCATTTCCACTGCATTGCCCCGTATTTAATCTTGTTGTATTGAGTAGCAATTACGACTTTGGCCAATGCGCACGCGCCGTACGTATGGCTACAGGTATGCGGTCCAGGAACCTTTGAAATAACCGCTGTTCGGCGCCCGATAATGCTTTCATGTTTTATATACTTAATTTTTAAAGGTAATTTGCCTTGTTTTGTTTGGCAGGTATGATTGTTGATCACCAGCAGTTGATACTTTTCCATTAAATGTAATAATAGAAATGCAAATAATATATAGTCAATTTCCAGGACTAGAATGATAGTTTGTTGGTAGTCAGTTGTAGGAAATGCATGCAGGTTTATAAATCGGATCTTATCGTCTGCCGGCGTTTTATTGGCGGTAAGATTTGTGGACGGTTTCACTGCCAACTCCTGCAAAGACGGAAACACAGATGCTATTTAAAACCAGTTTTAGAGTTTAAGGCTGTATCCGTCCATCAAAATATATAATTTATGTAAGGGTAACAATATTTTAACAATACAAAATTACCGAGACCCCGAACGCGATAAGCTGTTAGAGGGTGAATTCTTGGAAAACACGAATACTGGTGGCTATGCTACAGACTGAATGGGATGATAAATACGGCTGTGTAACTGCGACAGTAACAGCAAATGCCTTATTTACAGTCTTCGTTTTGGAGGTTAAAAAGAAAACCCAAGTAAAGCCGAAAACAATAACAAGTAACGCTGGAGTGGACTTTAAAAACAACACGACCTTTTTTATGAGGTCTTAATAGACTTAACGAAGTACCCCCATGTGACCTCTGGATGCCAGGATCGAAGGGTGACTCCCAACAATGAACCTTCATTTCAGTTATTTAAGTGACTGGTCGTGTATCTCTTTAAACTACCTATGGGTTCCTATGAACTGTATAATCTATAAATTAAACACTTAGATGATTTATCGCCCGTTCTGCTTTACCCACACAAGAGACCAGGCAAGAAATAACTTATTCAGATATTATTTTTAATTGGAAATGACTAAATGTAAACAAATACACAATTAACGTACATAGTACTCTATTATGCGTTTGAACATTTAACTTACGCCATTACTGATACTATTAGATGCCAATTAATCTTACTTGTAGAGGAGAAAAAAACTATGTGAAATAGTTTTGGCAGTCGCTGGGGTCCCCAGGGTTACCCCTGCTATAGGCACGGAGGGTGAGCACAAGCAGAACTAACTGACAGCCCGATCTTACTCCAGCTGTAATCTGTGCCTCGCTCTGATGCTTGTTTTGGACGTATTTAGACAGCAACTTGTTGTAGGTCGCAAATGCGATACTTTCCTCCAGAATAGAATGATGCAGTTGTCACCGATGGTTGTAATAAGTCAAATAAGTCCTTCATAATCTAAGTGTATTGTTTTACGAAAATGTTACAAGACAATATATTTAAGTAAGTGCATTCTCTTGACTTTACATTACAGAACAACTACAAAAAGTCTGCGGTTTTTTTAGGAAAGTGTGTTTTCAACCCGTACTTTACAGCCAGATACTGTAGGCCTGTGTGTTCTTGATAGTTTTCTCAAATAAGCTCAGTTTTAATGGGAAGTTTTGTATTTTTTAATACAAAAACTAGAAGATGAGGCAAATGAATATGGTGCTCGTTTTTTATTTTTCATTTGTGGAAGGTGGCCCTTACAAGAAAAATCATGAGCTTTGCACATGTTTATGGGATGGCAAGGGAGTGAGCTTGATCAAAACTCTTTAGTTGTCAGACAGATTTTGATATCACTATAAAGTCTGGTAGCTACTATTGTGTAAGAAATTTTATTGAGGAACCTAAAGACAATTTATGACACTTTGCAAAGTGGGCTTTTTACAGTTTCAGTTGTGTGAATTTGAATATTATTAGTTGAAATTAAAATCATTATTACATAGTAATTATTTTTGTATGTTGCATTGGTGCTTCCTTGACGTCGCTTGTATCCCTATAAACTGCTAACATGTTTTGACTACTGTGATTATCTGAGAATCATGCATGTCATTGGGAATCATGCAGGCTTCTTAACTCCCCCCCACCCCCAACATCTGACTTCTGCCTACTTCTGTGTGCCTGACCTCCCCCCCCACTCTCCTTTCCACACAGAAGAATCTTGGAGTTGTATCCAAGATGGGCAGCACTATAATGACAAGGATGTGTGGAAGCCCCAGGCATGTCGCATCTGTGTGTGTGACACTGGGAATATCCTGTGTGATGAGATTATCTGCGAGGAGCTAAAAGACTGCCCAAACCCGGAAATCCCATTCGGAGAGTGCTGCCCGATCTGCCCTGCTGACCACAGCACCCCCATTGGTTGTAATTTATTTATTTACGCTATTATAAATAAATTACCGTGTTGCTTCTGTTTGGCTTTTATTCTTTTTTTTTGCTGATAAATGGCAGCATCTCTACAGACCTGTAAATGTCCCATCTCCATTAAATGGGATTATGCTTGTCTGTGGTGTGGCTTCTGTTTTGCAAAAAAATAAATAACAAACAGGAGATAAAGACAAACACGATTTAACCAGATGCTTTTTATCATGGAAAGCAAACTTTCAGCTTTATATTCTTCATGTTGTGTATGTATGTTGAATGAATTATAGATTTGTGCAGTTGGAAATCTCGGTCCTCATCATCTAGGCACAAATCAGAAAGGAAAAACTTTCTAGCCAAATCGTATCTCATTCTTGAACATGGCCTGTGGCAGCCCTGTTGTCTTTCTGTCTGGATACTATTTGAGGTTTCATTCAGCATTACCATAGCCTTATTATTTTGACCCCACATAACAACTTAAGGCAAAATAACTTTGAAATTGTGATTGTTTTGATGCCAAAATAAACACAAGTGTAGCAAGAACAATTTTTTATTAAAAAAAGGTTATCTTAAGTGAAGACCCAGTTTCCATTGAGAGCTTGATTAATCTAGATTCAGAAGTGTTGATTGAAGAATAATCTTGCAAAAACTAAAACAGGGGATGAGAAATACTTTAACTCCAGTGACCAAACTACATGTGCTCGCTAACAAATCACTAAGGTGCTACAGTCTCTACCTTTTTGTACAGTCCAGTGTGAGCCTACTCTTTGCAAGCAAAGATGGCAGTCCTAGCCTGTGTGTACAAATGACCCCAGTGACCTCATTCTGCATGTCTGCCTTGTCATGTGACCACTGTCCAATGGCTTTGCCAGTAGATGGCACCCTACTCTGTAACAAGGCTTCTGTCTTTTCCTCTTGACACTATTGTGAAGCATCTTGGAGTCCTGGGATGTTTATTTTTTGTCCATTTCCTTTTGGTATAATTAGATAATGCCATCAGATTATTGTTCATGTAGCAGTGCATTTTTCAGTGTTTTTTTTCAAATAAACTTTATATAACAGTGTGTCTGTCTATCCTAATATTTGTGTCTTTTTTCTTTTTGATTTTTATTCTAAAAACAGGGCCAGTTGGTGGTAAGGTGAGTCAGTTTATATGTGAAATTTTTGATGTTTCTATATGAAAATCAGGGGTATTTTTAATAGACATAATGAATGTTAGATTGCATGACTTCAAATTCAGCACTATTTGTCTACTTACATTATTTTGTCATATAAAGCCTATGATTTTGGCACACATTTTATATGATAAAAACCTATGTTCTACATATTTTATTTTCATAAATGATCTGCATGTATTATTTAGGACATTTATTATTTAGTATTTATTTCTCATATTTCCAGAGGTTTTATGAGGTTTAGCAGAAGGTAACAGATTTTGGCTTTATTCTAGATTTATTTTATATTTTAATAGTAAACCAGATTATTTTAGCTTACACCCTACCTGTACCTTGCATCCTAAATGCTATTTATGTGTTTCTATGGCAGTTAAAGGTAGTTTGAAGTAGTCCAATTAGTGGTATTTTGTTTCCTGACTGTGGCTGAAAGGGGTACCGGGTACCAGAGCATCAAGCACCGCTTACTCAGGGAGTGAGGGATGCAGTGGGGCTGCCTTCGGTGTTCCTTTGAAATGTGCTCTGATGTTTTGGCAACTCTTCTTCTGTGTGTCTTTACAGGTGGTGGATGGAGTAGCAGGCCCCATGGTAGGTTTTTGACGAGCTCTTACTGAGGAATAGTCTCTTTAATGAATAATAATGCTTAACTCTACCCAGAGTTGAACATTTCAGGTCCAGAAGGAAAAAAATCCAGAGTAAGGTTTTGTTTCAGCCAACTGGTTGAGTTACAGTCACAGAGTACTCACCTGGTTGGTGGACCTGAAATGTCCCCCGCTGACTCCTCTGCTGTGTTTTATTGCATGATGTTATTTTTTTTTGGTTTCAGGAAGCTATGAACTTTTACTGTTCAGGTGACAGCAAGCTGTGTTTGTTCATTGCCATTAAGATTAAACAGTGTGGTGTTTTCAGTAAACTGAAGCACTGTGTTCCACTGAAGTGTTCATTATGTTTATTGTTGGTCTTTCAGGGACCCCCCGGGGAGCAGGGACCACGAGGAATGAGGGGTGAAAAGGGTGACAGGGTAGGATATGATCATAAACATTTGGCTTCAGCATCTCAGAGTTGCCATTCTAGTGGAATTGTGATTTTCGGTTCACAGCAGCTGATACAATGGCAACTGTAAATAAGGCTAAATGAACCCCACAAAGCATATTGGTGTTTATTAACAAGCCATCTAGTTTGAAACATCATCCAAGCACTAGTTCATACTCTTCAATACATGTGTACTTGTTCTTGATAACAAGTGGAATTTTGCCAAGAAGATGAAGAAGACAGACGATCTAATTCATCAGCTAGTGCATGCATGCAGAGTATGCCTTAATGTTATGAGTGGGTTTTTATATGTTTACAATGACTGCTGAGCTATTAACAGTTCTGTCATGTCAAAGATTATGAATCCTGTGTACTTCCCAGGCCCCAGTTCTATAGATTAGTTTTGTTTACAAAATGAAGAATGATCAAGCCTTAATTGTTGACCCAAGGGCTATGCTCACCCAAACCCTACACCGTAATGTAAAGAGGTGGTAAAGCATCAAAACATCATTAAGGAAAGATAATCCTCTCCTGTGTTAATGACTGACTGTTGACTGCATACACTCCAGTGCTGATAGGACAGCAGTTATCTTTCAACAAATGGAGCCATGCTTTTTCAAGTGAGTCATGACTCATTCATCATTCATATAAAGGCTTGAACTGTCCTTATGACAGAACAAAGGTTTGAAAGGCATATTACTAGCTAGGAATATTACTCTGCGGTCAGTCTACTCTCAATGTCATGTTAAAATCAGGTAGACAAATAAATTGATATAAATGTGTGTGTGTGTGTGTGTGTGTGAGAGAGAGAGAGAGAGAGTGAGAGAGAGAGAGCTTTCATAGATCGTATTTGGGGACCACAATATCCCTAAAGTGTGGTAAAACCTGACACTCCCTTACTTTTTGGGACATTTTCAGGTATCCATTTGTATAACCTCAATTTTATTAAAATCTGCGAAGAGTAAAAATACTAAAATTATTGTAATTTTTTGGGTTACTTATGGTTAAAGGTAGGGCTGGGTAGAGGTTAACGGTGTCATGATTGGGATTAGGGCATAACCCATAGAAATGAATGGAAGGTTCCTATTTATCTGGGTACGCCAACGTGTCTGTGTGCGTGTGTTTCAGTGTGTGTGCACATAATGTTTCTTTGGATTGTACCTGTTTGTTTCAGATGTCCTTTTTCCTCCTTCCTCTCAGGGTAATCCTGGCCCCCCAGGTAGAGATGGCGAACCTGGCATCCCCGGAAAGCATGGCCCCGCTGGCCCTCCAGGCCCCCCAGGCCTTGGTGGAGTAAGTATGAGCAACAACTTTAGCTTTATTCTGCAATGAAAGGATGTTAATTTAGATAGCTAGTTAATGCTTTGCCATGTTGGGGATTTTGTTAGCAGTAACTTGGTGCGGTGTCACCTCACCTCATCTTAATTAGCTGATGGCAGTGACCACATCCAGGGTATTTTTTGCCATAATTGCTAATTCCTGCTTTCTGCTGTAGAACTTTGCTGCCCAGATGGCAGGTGGCTTTGATGAGAAAGCTGGTGGAGCTCAGATGGGAGTCATGCAAGGCCCAATGGTAAGAAATGGCGGGGAATGTGTTAGTCTAAGGGTGCAGTCAGATACGAAATCATGCACTTTGTGAAACAGGTATGTAATACAGGTATAAACTGATAACTTTATGGTAACGGGCAAAGAAATTTCAGTAAGGAAACCTATTGACATCTTGTGGACGAAATAAGCAATTGCAATGTCTGGCCCTCAAGTTTCATTAGCAGATATAAAGAAATGCCTGTGTTGTAATCTGCAATAGCATCTATTGGTGCTGGTCAAAGGCCATATGGAGCCCAGGGGATTATGCAAGACTTTGGGGAGGTGGGGGGTCAGACAGGGGTTACTGAAAAGATGCCACCTGCCTATTTCACCCTGTGGGTTGAGCAAAATGCCCAAAATGATCTTCTATAGTTTAATCGAAACCCCTGTTGTAAATAAACTTTTCCTTATAATGAAGTTATAATGGGTCTGAAGTGAGATATAAAGATGTTAAATTAAATTTATGTAATTTTTAAAATAATCATTGTAGGACCAAGCTGATTTTCGAAGGGGTTTTAAGAGCTCAGTCCTCATTCCTTTCTGTACTGACTCACATGCCATCATCTTTTTTATATATATATTGTCTTCTCTCCACCTTTCTTCCTTCCATAGGGCCCGATGGGTCCTCGTGGTCCTCCTGGCCCCCCCGGCCCTCCAGTGAGTCTTTCACCTTTTCACTCCTGTAAACACCAAGAGAACACTGAGTGAATTCATGGCAGCACTTGGACACCAACGTGCTTTTTCCTGCACCACAAGGTCACACACAAGAGTGTACACTTGTTCCTGTTAAATCCCACTGGGGATCTTGGAGTTCCGGAGTTTTGAAAGTGTCAGATGTTTTGCCAGGTCACTCAGAAAGAGGCTTTTTAAATATCTGATCGCCAAACCGGTAACAGCTGTGCTGTTACTTTTAACCATTACTGTCTTTAACTGAAGTCCTTTTGATGAAAAATGACCTTTTCATGCAAAGTAGTCTTGATAACCAGACTGCTGCACTGTTTGTCAGCTGCTCATATTTTCTTCAGACTGTAACCCTGCATCATACACTTTGTAGGGCCCACAAGGTTTCCAAGGCAACCCTGGAGAGACTGGAGAATCTGGAGCAACGGTCAGTACTGCTTAGTGTTGCAGTGACACACAGTGACACAAAGGGCACCCTGCACCACGGCTAATTAAAAAGACCACCGTCTACATCGGTCCAGAGCAGGGCTCAATACCATGGGCTCAATCTGATGGACATTTTGATCAAAATGCATTTTTCCACAGACATGGTATTTAAAATGCAGTGTTTTTTTTCTCAATCAAATCATTCTGCCTTGGACCCAGACAAGTGTTGCCATAGACACGTTTGTCAGTGTATGGACAGGTTGGCAATTCCTGGTCCCCTGTAACATCCATTTACTGCAAATGCATTGATATATAATATTGGTTTATTATATTATCATTATTATAAACTTATTACCTAATATTACAGTCTAATTAGGAGCACTTTTTATAGCAACCATTTTTCCACAATGGTGGAGATGAGTGTAGGATGTAGCATAAATTCTGCATGATCAGCAGAAGTATACACAGGAAGTGAAGACAATGAGAGTCAATGTGCTAAGTTTGATTAATTTTAGAACCTTGGACTTCACTGATTCCAGACCAGCTCAACAATTTAACACACTCAGCGCCTATGAATACCATGTGACCATGTGAATAAAACCATGCCGTGGAAAATTCCAGAGAAAGATGCATTATATTACATATTTTACATTCACTTTGTTACTTTTTCAAATTATTTTGAATGTTCATAGTGCAAAGTCGTCACTGTAAACATTATTTATGTATTTATGTACAGGATAGACCTGAAGAGTAAAGACACCACAAGAGTAAAGTCTTGTTGAGTGCTTGACTCCACAGCATTGGCTTTTTTTTCACAGGGTCCGATTGGCCCCCGAGGTGCCCCTGGACCCTCAGGCAAACCAGGAGATAATGTAAGTATTACTAACATCAGTATCCATATTCATTGTTTATGTCTAGCATTTTCATCTTTTCAATGACTGTCATCTCCACTATGCATGATTCTGTAAAGCCTCTTTAATCAAAGAAAATGTCGTAGAACTAAAGTAGGTAATTGAGATAATATAGCAAGCAGGATTAGAACCTGTCATAGTCAGAAAGGAGTGAAAATGGGTTATATATATTTTTTTGTTATGAATTTATTGTCCTCATCAATGACATTGTGCTTTCTTCATTCCTCTGGATCTCTGAAAGTTTTTTACTGATTGTATTGATTTTGTTGCCAAGGTGATGGCAACGATGATTACAATTTTTGTATCCACTTAATTCATTTGTAGTGCTGTGTAGCTGGGAATACAATAATATTGCATGTTATATGTTCTTAGATGAAACAACGTATGTGTTTATTCCCCAAGCATGTGTCACCCTGTATAATATTATTATAATTATTATTTTGCATCCATCCATCCATCCATCCACTTGGTCAGGGTCACAGGGTTGATCCTCATTCATTCTTTCATTCATTCATTCATGTATTCTTTTTTATTTATTCATTTATTTACTTATTTACTTGAAAGTCAGTCAGTAAGTGTGCTAAGCACAGTTCCACTGGGGGGCGCCACAGAGTCAAATAAAAGAAATATTGCAGTAGGGCATGCAGCAATATTATTAATAGTCATCAAGCAAATAATTTATGTAATCACATCAAGTATTTCTCACCAGATCTTCAAGCTTTTGCAAGATAACATTTTATTGTAATTACAAACTTGTAATTTTTATGTTGCCAGTGATGCTGAGATGAAACTCATTTCTTTTGTAGGGAGATCCTGGCAAACCTGGGAAAGCAGGAGAACGTGGACCCTCCGGTCCCCAGGTAACACATCAGCACTGATGTTAAATAACATCAATGTACGGTAGCAAGTGTACTTCTGCACTAATATTTTCACTTGTTTGTTGCGCACTAATTTATTTAATCTTAATGTATTTTATTTCAGGGTTGTTCATTTTGTTAACATTTATATGTTTTGTGTGTGTAATGTATTATGCAAGATAATTAAATTAAGATAAGTAAGTTTTCTACATAATTATGGAATGGGTCTTTATAGCACACGTTGCTGGTCTGAATAGTAGAAAGGCACAATTTTAACTTCCCCATAAAACCCATTTTTTTAGGCATTTTTTCCCTCCATATTAATGAATATACAAATAATAGTTTGCGCCTAAGTAATCCTATTGGTGTCTAGAGACAATTTTAAAGTCTCCTTAAATTCCAAAAATAATTGGGCTTCTTTCAGCCAGGCTGATAGGTCCATCTCTCTGTTAGCATTGGTGAATGTTGCTGTGATAATGTCTAATAACAGTGCTGCAGTGTTTGGCATCAATGACCTCATGCATTCTGTAAGTCACCTAAGCCCTGCCATTGAACAGATTCTTCCTGCTCTTGCATCACCCCATATCTTTCCCACTTTCCCCTTCCTTACTTTCACTTTCTCCATCAATTTTTCATTTCCATTTCTTTGCCTTTAGGGAGCACGAGGATTTCCGGGAACTCCTGGGCTTCCTGGCATCAAGGGACACAGAGTAAGTCCCCGGGCTGTGGTTTACTTAAAAAAGGCACCCCGATCATTTTATTACTCTAGCAGCTAGCAATAATCACATCTAATAATTACTTTTGTTTTAAAATGGCATGTATCCATTAACCAGCTAAAATGTAGCGATCGGACATGGAACAGTTCAGTAATGGTATGTTCCTGTTTTTTTGCAGGGTCACCCAGGGATTGACGGTGCCAAAGGAGAAGGTGGTGCCGCAGGAGCAAAGGTTTAACGCTGCTCCGTCATTCTCCTGCCACCTGCCTGATCTACTCTGTTGCTCCTCATACATCTATAGAGGCTGTTCTTTATTCAGGAGTCTGCTAATTTTTGTCTTAACTTTTGTCGTAATCCTCCTACTTCTGGTTTATTATTACTGTGCTGTTTATTTATTCCATTCATCGGGTTCTTTGTTGTCATAGATTCTCCGTTGAATTCCAGTTGTATCTTCCTGTTTCTGTATTTTATGTCCCTGATGTACCCACAGACTTGCAGTACTCCTTGTTTTAAATGTAGTTAACTCTGGTCTGTGAACTCATGTATGTAAAATCTCTTACGCTCTCTAATCATGATTTCTTTCACTGTGTTCACGGGTTTATTAATTAATGTTCCTTAATATCAAAGTTGTATATAGTGAAGTCTTTATTATAAATATTATACAAAGTCTTTAATCTCCCTTCTCACTGGACTTTGTTTCCTTTACTGTCACCAGGGTGAGGCTGGTTCACCTGGTGAAAATGGTGCCTCTGGACCAATGGTAAGTGTACAAGCATATTGTATGCATGTAAAATGGATTCTCAAAGGCCAGATATTCCATTACACGTAAATGTATGAAAAATGCATTGGTCCATGTTTTACATCTATGTTTGTCAGAAAACAGTTCAAATTAAACTGTGTGTTTGCCTAAATATAATGTCACTTGAAGTGTGTTTGATCATAGCAAAATGATTGTAGTACTACTGAAAAAACAGTTGATGATATAGTGATGTACCTGATTTTAGGAGTTATTTTTAAGGCATTTAAGGCATGGTTAGTAAATAATATATGCAGTACAGCTCTGTACATGGCAGTTCAAGTTGTTACTGTAGGTCTGTTGTGTTATTGTACAGAGATGAATGATGGTTCTCTGTGTCTGTAGGGTTCCCGTGGCCTGCCCGGTGAGAGAGGTCGGCCTGGCGCTCTTGGTTCTGCTGTGAGTTTCACACATGCTCCTCGTTCTTCAACACTCCTTTAATCTGCACCAAGCCTATAGGCCAATGAAAGGAGTGTGCTGACAGTTTGTAATGACATTTAAGTCGCGTTCACTGCAAGGGACTGCACACAATTTTTTGTTATACCTTTATATAATGACAATAAAGTTTCTGATTCAGCACCTTCCTCATCCTCCCCACTTACTCCTCCATTAAATAGGCATCAGTCTCACCACGTCTTCGAACTTTTGCAGGCAGCTAATATTTTATTGTAATTACAAATGACAAAAGCATTTGATGTGGTATTAAGCCTCTAAGATGGTGTGAGAATGTAGGCTTTGTGCGCTCCGCAACACTTCTTTGGTACTATTGGTTAACTTAAATACAGTTAATTTGCTGATGCTCCTCATTGACCGTAGACAAGTTCCTGTTTTCCAATGTTCTTGTGTAATGGCCCGATCTTCTTTGTCATTGTCATCATTTTTTCTGTTTTTTAGGGAGCCCGTGGTAATGATGGACTGCCTGGTCCCGCTGGTCCTCCTGTATGTCATAATTCCCTTTAATAATTCAATGTTCCATTCCCTTTTACATTGCAGTATTATCTGTAAATGCTACATATATGCTTTAATTGAAAGATCATTGAAGAAAGGATCATTCCAGCAGACAGACTATGCCCTCATTGTGATTGCTTCCACCACCATAGGGTCCGCCTGGTTCTGCTGGACCTCCAGGTTTTCCTGGTTCTTCGGGTGCTAAGGTGTGTATTTTCTTAGTATACAGCCTTTCAGAATATTTTTATTTATTTTTGTGGCTTGAAAGAACAAGCAAAGAAACAGAGTGAATGCCTCTCAAGGCCACATTTTCCTTTTACTTTATGAGTAGAGGCACCATTATTAGAAGTGCCATGTTATTCCTCAATCGAACACCACTTGCCTTGTTACCACAGCAACCTGTCAGAAAGTTTGGGCTGACTGAACACAAAGCTGTTATATTCTCTACGGAAGGCCAGTGTGGTATAGCTACTGCAACAGATGTAGTTCAGTATGTAAAGTTTATTTTGTATAATTTAAGATCATCTTTCAAGTAACCATAAGTGAATGACTTTTTTGTATGGTACCAAAACTGGGTGACTGAGCACAGAATGACCTGATTGTTTGGTAGAAGCTGGATGCTGTCAGACAGACCGAATGGTGCAGCTCTGTTATGGATGAATGAGTGTTGTGCCTGTTAACAGGGTGAAGCTGGTCCTTTAGGGACTCGGGGGGCAGAAGGTCCGCCAGGATCCCGTGGAGAGGCAGGGACCCCAGGATCACCTGGCCCGGCTGGAGCGTCTGTGAGTAACGTTTTTGGAATCGCAGAGAACCAAAATCCATGGAACGCAAACCTGAACAGAGCCAATGTGGACTGCGGAGAAAATGCTTAAATAAGCAGGAAATTGCATAATAATGAACCAACAATAGCTGAGATCAGCATGTAAACTGTACCTGTACAGGCCTGGTTCCAGGACTGCCAGATGACCTGTGAGTTTGAGCTCTTTATGAAAGATCAGAATGTTCGTCATGATTGTATAAATGATGTAAGCTTGTAACATGTTATGGATGGGAAACATACGCCGTACACAGGAAGGGTAAGGGTCCTTTTTTGAAAGAAAGAGATCAACTAATCATTGTGATCATTAGTCAGTATGAAACTAGACTAGCTTAGCATAAAAATATTAATGACAGGCTTTCAGTTCCCCCAAGGATTAGTGTCTGCCTTTGTCCTCCTAGGGTAACCCTGGTACTGATGGAATACCTGGAGCCAAAGGCTCTTCAGTAAGTAGCTCTGCCTAAATCATGTGACAACATCTGTCTTATCTAGCACTTTATATGAAGTATATCTCAGATATTGATCATAATAATAATGAAAGTGGCTAGTGCATTAGCTACGTTTATACTGAGTCACTTTTAACCAGTTACAAAGTACCAATAATGCTCTGTTTCTGTTTCCCATCTGCAGGGTGCCCCTGGTATTGCTGGGGCCCCTGGATTCCCTGGCCCCCGAGGGCCCCCAGGACCACAGGGAGCAACAGGGACCCTAGGGCCCAAAGGACAGCATGTAAGGTCCAGTCTCCATGCTAGTTTTAAGAAGGAGATCAAATAAATTGTTTATTTTTGGGGAGATGCTTACTGCATTATGTGTTTTATTTACCCAGCAGTCATTTTATCCAAAAATGTTACTTGCTTCTAAAACTTCCAATTATACAGTTTTCCATAGTTTGTGATTCTGAAGAATACGTCATCTGTTATTGTCTACTTTGTGCTTGCAACCTGATTAAACTACAGGTGGTGAAAATCAAGTCATTTAAAAAAGAATACATCACCTTGATCTTTAATGTAAAAATTTCCCTCTGCTGATAAACAGATGATCCATATGTTGAGCAATGTCCTGCATCCATTTAGGGTGATCCCGGTGTCGCAGGATTCAAGGGTGAAGCTGGACCCAAAGGAGAGCTTGTGAGTCATTTTCTTTTGTCATTTAACACATTTTCTAAAACATAAACCATTTTCCACACTTGTCCACTTGTTTGTTGGAAGGACGCATGGAGTGTTCAATGATGTGGCATATTTGCATTTCACCTCCAGGGTCCTGTGGGTCCGCAAGGTGCCCCTGGTCCAGGAGGAGAGGAGGGCAAGAGAGGACCTAGAGGAGAACCTGGTGCAGCAGGTCCACTTGGACCTCACGGAGAGAGGGTGTGTACAGTGCTAACATGTCTGCAAAAAATATTCTCCATAGATCTGTAACCTTTATTTTAGCAACGCAGTGGTTGATGTAGTTACACAAATCAGTTCTTTTGTGCTTCTGTGGAGAACTGGCCTTTATGCCTGGGGCAAGCCCTTAATTAAGAGTTTGCTCATCAGTGATTATATCAGACCACATATTTGCCATTTGTAAATTTGAAGCATTAAAGTGTACAGGTGTGATATGCAAATAAACAAATTGACTCAAAAGTGACATAAAAACAATTTTCCATAGTATAATAATTTCGAGTTACCAGAAATGATATCTACTCCCAATCTTCACATGCTTAAACATTTAAATAAATGTGTTTCTGTGTGTCATGTTGCTGCTTTGTCTCTCTTGGCCATTCTAGGGTGCTCCTGGTAACCGTGGTTTCCCAGGTCAGGATGGTGTGGCAGGTGTTAAGGTGGGTAATGAAATAAAACAGCTGATTAATGACTCGTCTGTAATGCATTTCAACCATTCTAGCTGTCGCCTGTCTACCAGCCTGTGTACTCTGCTGCTACAATCACACGCAGCTTACAAACTGCAGAAGAATGACCTTCTGTACTGTAACACACCTCAGGCAGATTGTTCTGTTAGTTACCACCCCAATATATCTCTTCTGCTTCCAAAAATGTTGTCCTTTTATTCAAATATTAACCACAAAATATTAGTAAACAGTTTCACCTGTTGGCTGGTGGCGTTTGTCATTATGCTAGTAATTTGGAGAAATGGAACGTGTGGTTGTGTCTTCTACACAGCACATTTAAATATATTTTTATTGCTCTTACAGTATGTCATGCTAAAAGCTGGACTAGTCTCATATGTGTCAGATACTGGCATGTTTATATAGTGCATAATGTGTGTTAGGCCATATTTGTGTATGTGTTTTATGATAACTGTAGTATCATCTGCATGGACCATCTGACCTCAGTGCTTGGCAGCATTGCTGTCTTTTGCTGGGGCCTCAGGCTTCAGAGCGGCCATCTGCTGCAGTAACCCTGTTCTCATTTTGTTCAGGGTGCCCCAGGTGACCGTGGAGTCCCTGGACTTTCCGGGCCCAAAGGTGGCAATGGTGACCCGGGGCGTGCTGGAGAGCCTGGCCTGCCTGGTGCCAGAGTGAGTGCTGTGACTTTCCGTGTGGCTCTGCCGGCAAATTCTTTAATTACACTGATGATTGATATGGTGATATTTGTGAGCAAGATTGATAAGTCTTTTTCAGTTTTGGTTGTTTTTCAGTCAGACTCGTGAGGTTAATCCAAGGCCTGTGAACACATAACAGAACACATAACACATGTAACATAGAGTAAAAATATGCCTGTACAGTATGGAATACTAACTAGTCCATCTCTCTTTATTTAACTAAATAATAGCCAAACATTGAAAGGGTGGAATTAGTAGGCATCTCTATTTACTGTCTGTTTTTGCTTTGCATACAGGGTCTCACTGGTCGCCCTGGTGATGCTGGTCTTCAGGGCAAAGTTGGACCCACAGTGAGTATAAATTTCAGGCCAACTGTCAGGCCTTCAGAAAGTGTTAAAGCTTTTTTTGTTCCATGTATTTATTCTTAGTTATTCTTTGTCATGCAGTTTTCATGTTACAAAAATAGCATTTATAACTAACAGCTTTACATTTTCTGGAAACAGTCACTGCACTAAATTCTAGTAGAGATTTGAGGTGCTCCTGGCTGCCCCCTACAGGGAGTCCCAGGTGAGGACGGTCGCCCAGGACCCCCTGGCCCATTAGGGGCCCGCGGCCAGCCCGGTGTGATGGGATTCCCTGGACCCAAAGGAGCCCATGTGAGTATCCCTCTTTGCAAGGTGTGAGCAAGGCCAGCCAGTCAGGCCAGGCTGCCGTGTGGCTCCCTGGGTTAGAAATGCCTCTGAAGGGACAGATGCGCGTTCAGGTCCTCAGGCTGGCCGAACCAGCATGTCCCTTCTGGGCTCTGCCTGTCCAGCTATAAAAGAATGCTACATATTCGCTGTATATAAACACTACACTTAGCACACCTTTAGCTTAAGCTCTTAAGTAAGAGACATAGAGGATTTGTAAGCAAAATATTTTTCCTCCTCAGGGAGAGCCTGGTAAAGCAGGACAGAAGGGACTGATTGGGGCCCCAGGTGTACGGGTAAGGGCCTCTTCCTGCACATTTATACATGTCTTTTCCTGATTGGTTAATTAACATGTAATGTGTACAGCAGCATATTGTTTTCTCATTGCCAACTGATATTCTAATGTTAAAAATAACAGCACAGTTAGATATGAGACAGCTGGAATGTGAATGTCCTCCAGGTAGTTTTTCAGAACTTGTAGCAGAACAAATGTAGCAGTTTCTCTTAAGTGCTACTCAAGTTGACTAACCATCCATAGTCATTGGTATATTAACATCTCATGTGATGTCCAGATTAATTGACTTTCCAATCCTCACTCAATAGGGTCTGCCAGGCAAAGATGGCGAGACTGGACCTACTGGATCTCTTGGGCCTGTAGTAAGTTGACCTATCACATTGTGATGATGAGAGGAGATTTGTTTTTGTACTTTATGTGAAACCGTGTGACCACCTTGTCGCTCCTGTTGAGAAACTCATTGCTGATGATGCATCCTTCTCACAGGGAGCAGCTGGAGAAAGAGGAGAGCAGGGACAGCCAGGCCCCCCCGGCTTCCAGGTACGTGTGTCACTTGGCAGGACACTGTAACCTGGAAACAGCACAAGGGTGAACCTCAGTGCATGTAGTCTCGGCAAATATTAAGTGGTATCCTGTCATTAATATCGCCACTATTACAATCAGTTTGACTAGAGGAGTATATTGCCTTATGCCTGGGTGGCACTGTAGTGCACTGGTTAGCACTGTTGCCGCATACCTCTGGGACCCGGGTTTGAGTCTTTGCCATGGCTCCATGTGTGTGGGGTTTCCTCCAGGTACTCTGGTTGCCCCCCCTCCCCCAGTCCAAAAACATGCTGAGGTTAATTTGAGTTGCCAAATTGCCCATAGATGTGAGTGTGACCAGTGATGGGTTTCACCCTCGGCTGTTCCCTGCCTTGCACCCATAGGCTCTGGACCCCCTCCTGACCCTGAATAGGATAAGCAGTTATAGAAAATGGATGGTTATGCATAAAAATGCCTTTTGTTATCTTTGTTTATAGGCAAGATGGGATACGTCTAAATTAGTTGTGCCATTTGTGTTTCAACTGTGTTAAAACTGATGAAGTATCAAGAAGTACTTTTTTCCTTATGAGCACATTGAAAAACATCAGCATTTTGTAATGTAATATATTTAGAACTGAACCCTACAGTTAGGCTGCAGAACATCTTAAATCAGCATGAAATAACTATAATGCATAGGCACACGTAGGCTTGTATGTTATCAAGAAATCAACTTTTTATTTGAAAATGGCGCCAAATTATTGTACACCACAGTATAATGTAAAATGTACACAAGGGAGAAAGAGTAAACACAACATGATCTATGCAGAGTACACAAGCTGTCTAAGTAGGTTTGAGCGGTATCTAATTTTGCTACCATAATACCGCCCAAGCCTACGTCTAACCAAGAGATTTTAAAATGCACCAGATAAAGTACAACTCCCAGCAGAAAACAGAAAGAAGTGCTGAAGACAGACATAAATATCCATCGCTAATTACTGGATGGCAGTTGGCTTGGGAAAGAAAGCATCATTCATGCTGAATTCTCATTTCACCCCTAGTGTTTTACATCCCACCTGGTTTCCAGCTCCTCCTAGTGGTCAGGCAGCATGATGCGCTAGTATTTATTTCAAAGTGTTATTTTGTTTATAAAACATACATTTAATACTTGTTCACAGTGAGAGGGCCAGGAAGCTGCCAGTTACCCATCCCTGATCTAATGTTTTTAAATAAATGGGGAGCAGAATAATTCTCCAGCGGGCAGTAAGACAAAAAGTTATAAGTTAAGTTAATTAAAGGAATAAGCAAGTATACTGGACTCAGTAAAAACAGATTATCCCTCCAGTTTTAGCCCATTTTTGTAAGTCCAAAAATTTAAACTGTATAGTGATTAATTAGTTCATTTGTTAGGGTTGCTTTGGTTATAAATAGTTTTGCATTTACCAATCCTATTTTCAATGTGGATTTGCTGCTTACTCAGCCTGCAGAAACACAAGACTTGATATTTATTGTTACTGTCACAAATACCAATCAAATAAAAGCCTGCTTGTTTAAATGCATTGCCAGGAAACAACCTGAGTCCACAATGCTTTCTTCAGGGAAAACGATGGACAGAACCATGTGACTTGGGGATACGACGAAGTAATAGGGATTTTATTGGTCGATGGGTTTAACAAAAGCAGTGGAAGGGAATGGAAGCAAAAGTCAGCAGGGGAAAAAACAGAAGACAAACAAACCGAGCTTCAACTCAACTGGGATGGAACACTAAATCAGGGGTGACCAATCATATCCGCAAAGGGCCGGTGTGTTTGCGGGTTTTCGCTGCAACTCCCTAATTAGATTACTAATTAGAGGACTGATTGGCTGAGGAGTCCTCACACCTAAGTTTGAACAGCTGACCTACAGGTTATCCCGAAAACCTGCATTCACACCGGCCCTTTGCGCATAAGATTGGCCACCCCTGCACTAGAGTCTGGACATAGTGCTGAACTGGTTATAGGTGAACTGAATGAATGACCTGTTTACCTGACATGGTCCTGCCCCATGACCTCTGTACTCCTTTTCCAGCTTGCAGAGTGCTGATAGTGTGAAATGTAGGTCGTGGTAACGATGGTTCAGTGCTTTTGGGGAAGCCTGTAGATTTGCTACCTGGACTTGGTTATGGGTTAGAATTATTTACTTATTATTACTAGACAAATTTCTAGACAAAAAGACATCGTACCATGAAAGATGGACACCTTCCCTAAAAAGTTTAGACTGTTTTAAGATATTTGAAGTCTTAAATGCTGACTCAGATTTACCTTTAGCATAGAATACGCATAGAATACCTATTATTATCAGCTTAAAGGCAACTCAGCAGATGAAATTAATCAGATGAAAACAGGGGATTAAATGCTCTCTGTCATCCACGCTTCCCATAATGCACTGTGCTGTGACATGGTGTAACATGGATAAATTGTTTTCTATGGCATGAAACTCAGTGTAACCAGAAGAACGCAAACAAGTAATAGCCAAAATAATTTTTACACAATAGAAAAGAAAAGAATTCCATTTTGTATCTCTGTGTAGGGTCTGCCTGGACCTACTGGTGCCACTGGTGAAGCGGGCAAGTCTGGAGAACCGGTAAGGTCCTAAAAGGATCAGCTGCTCTTTTATTGCGATGTTACGGGTCTGCTTTTGATCCTGTCCCCTCAGACCTCAGTGGGTAATATTATGGGATGGCAGTGACAGTACAATGCGTAACAAATTCCTGTCCTCATGCAGGGTCTCCCTGGAGAGGGAGGAGCTCCTGGTGTAGTTGGAGCCAGGGTAAGTTTTTTTGGTTCTTACAGACATAATGTTTGGTTCTGTGTATTATGTTCTGGGAACTCTGCGGTTCCCTTTGCCCCCTCAGTCATTGTAATTTTTGTGGCCTGGTCTCCCCTCACACAGGGTGAGCGAGGTTTCCCAGGCGAGAGAGGTACAGTTGGTCCCCAAGGTCTGCAAGGACCACGCGGTCTTCCCGGGAGTGCAGGAACTGATGGACCTAAGGTGAGCATCATGCTTCTCCATGCATTTTCTTACCTTCAGCCCCATAAACTATAGGCACTTTCACACTGGAGTTCTGTAAACTGGTGCCGGTGTAGAAGTCCCTGGGCTGTCTCCACCTGGAAATTTTGTAGCTCCTGGCCATTGTCTTGCAGTTCTTCGCTTTCACACTGCATAACGGAACAGGGACCTTTACGCCAAACAAGCATGGGAGACACAAACATTTTGTAGGTTAAACTTCACACATAATTTCATTTGAAACTACACCGCCACTCCAAAACAATGGAGGATGAACAAGCTGTCTTTTTTTAGTTATTTTTTAGTTACTGGAGGGATCGATTAGAATGAAAATGGGGCAAAACCTGTTATTAATACTTTATTTGTATGACATCTGACACATTTATAATTCTTATTAAATCTGGCTAGCTGACTGATCATTCATTTTCCACAGAAAAAAAGATGTAACATTATCCCACGGACACTGACAATATTAGAAAAAAGTATATTGGTTAGCGATCATGTTTTCCAATCCAGAAATATAGAGACACGGGCAAAAAATGTTTTTATTGATGCATTAAATGTAATTGAGGTACAAAAATCTCTTCAGTTTTTGCTCCACTACCTACTTTTCCCTCTGCTACTTCTGTTCTGTTTGTTCCCCACGTAAGGTGCTTGCGGTTGGCCAATCTGCAAGTTTATTGCTGTAAGCACCTCCCCAGTAGTTTGTGTTCCAATGAAAAGTACCTGATTTGGATTAGGGACTGAAAAAGGGTTCTGGCACTGCCTTTGAGGAACTACTATCAGACCTAGTTCCTGCAGTGTGAACGTAACAAAAGTTCCTCGTTCTGGAAAAAGGTTCTGGTTCCTGAAAAAAGCTCCTGCAGTGTGAAAGCACCCTATGTTGCTTTTTACATTCAATTTCAATAACTTTTAAAGATCATTTTAAAATCCTGGCTTTAACATATATAGGGCCCTGCATGGCCAGACTTCAGAATATGTCACAGACCTTCTATACACTGTCATGGTGAGCCTGTCCCTTAGGTCATCTGGCCAGGGACTTTGAACAGTCCCTTGTAGAAGTTTAAAGACCTGGGGTGACCGAGCCTTTGCAGCTGTTGCACCCAGGCTTTGGAATCCTCTTCCAGTATCCCTGCGGTCTGTAGATGCTGATAAGTTTAAATACCTGCTGAAATCTCATTTTTAAACTAGCCTTTTTACCCCAGCACTTCAGTACAGGTGTGCCCCTGGAGATTTCTATTTTTTAGTTTTGTATTTTATTTTTATGATGCACTTTGTGACTGTCCTTTGTTTTATTGGTTTTAGGCCTCATTTCTATAAATTTACTTATGTACTAGTTTTAAAATGTGAAGCACTTTGTGACTGTATTGGTGGAGTGTATTTATAGTAATTACTTACTATGTAACTATGGTTTTGGAAGCACTTCATTTCAGAATGATGTATATGTGTCATTGCCATGATGAACTATAAGAATAGTTTCTGACCTGGTACTGAGGTCAGGTTACATTTATGTTGTTCTGTATTCAAAATGGAACTTAATATAAACAGCGGCTTAACTTTTGGTGAAATGTTTGAGGCAGGGCAAAAATAGTGATTTATTACAGTTACACAAGTTTTACCACAATGATATGAGCACAAATACTGCAGGAAATTCTTTATTAGTTGCACAGAGTGCAGAAGCTTTTCAATAACACAAGAATCATATCTTCCTTGGGTCAAGTTTAGAGTATAGCCAGGTTTTTCAGTGTGACTTCAGGCATCAGACATCTGTCAGACTGGAGCGAAATGTTACCCAAAACCTCCTTTGCTAACACATGACCCTAAAAGAAGTTTTGCGTAAGGCTATGAGGAAGCATAATGTCTGTAGTGTAATCCATGCTGTTTCACAGGCTGTTGTGTAGTTCGGTTGCTGGTATGCTTCTCTTACAGGGTTTCCCTTCTTTTCCAGGGAGCTATTGGGCCTGGCGGCCCCCCCGGTGCCCAAGGACCCTCAGGCCTCCAAGGCATGCCTGGAGAGAGGGGTACCTCTGGGATAACTGGGTCTAAGGGAGACAGAGTGAGTGACAAACACCCTCTAGCCTGGACACTAGTACATCCTTAATTCACTTACATATATCACAGCTCCTCTTTGTATGTTGAACGATAGTCAGTCTATTGGCATTGGTACTGTGGTTATAAAGACCGCTTATAGTGCTATATGCTATAGCAGTGTGGACTCATTATGCTGGTTTGTCCTGCAGGGTGACAATGGTGAGAAAGGACCTGAAGGTGTCCATGGAAAAGATGGATCGAGGGTGAGTACCTGTTCTGTGAAGTCGGCACTGCATCATTTCCATAATTAATTAAGTGATTGATTGAGGAGTTATTGATTAGTGATTTTACATTTTTTAAATGTACTGAATTTTAAATATGTATGTGTGCTATCATACATCAGTCTGGTATATGGTGTATTGTGACATGGAATTGCTATTGGAGTTAATGACCTATGTTTGTGTCTTCTTCTCACTTAGGGTTTGACTGGTCCTATTGGTCCTCCTGGTCCAGCAGGCCCTAATGGTATAAAGGTGAGGCATCATGTCACAGCTAATTTTTGTGATGAAACTTTTTGGTGGATTAATGTTATATATATGATTGTTTTCTTCTGATATCCGTTTTAGGGTGAATCTGGTCCCTCCGGTCCTTCTGGAGTACCTGGGGCTCGCGGTGCTCCTGTAAGTCACTGCAGTCTGTGTAAAAGGCTCTGCATGTAACCTGAAATTGAAATAATTCACTTTGTATCCCTGACTTCGTAGTGCTATAGCGCTGTTACCTCCAAATTCAAAGGTTTCCCTAAGCTATGTGAATGACGGCTGAATTCAGTCCTAGGATTTGATTGACACTGGTGTTCTGCCACTTTCTAGTCAGCAAAATCTGTTCTTTGTCCATTTGCTGGTTTCCCTAGTAGGCTTGTGTGAATGTATGGCAGCAGACAATGCCCCTTATCTGAAATATAAACGTCACGCCCCGTGTCCTGTGTGCTTGCTCTGTGGCTCAAGGTTTTTGGCAGTGGCGACATCAGAGCTACACAACCACTGGAATTTACAGGTTTCTAAGTAAGGGTTAGCCAGTGTTTCACTTCATTGTGGGAATGACAGTAAGCTTTACCCATGCCACAGAGTACAGGGCCGCCTCCGCCATGGGCGATCGGTACCATGAAGATCCCTTTGCTTTTATTTACTGCTAGCATAGACATTAATGGTCAGTGTGTGGTAAATAAATGGTTTTAATAATGCAGGAGAAATCAACTTATATTACCGCTAGTGTCCAGCATTCCAGGATGTTTCCATGTTTCCACACCTCTTTGTTTTCTGCCCTTTCAGGGAGATCGTGGCGAGAATGGCCCTCCAGGCCCTACTGGCTTCGCTGGACCCCCTGTGAGTGTTGATTTCATGATGTACACTCATCAATCTAAAGCCACTTCTATTCAGCCCCACATGGGATGAGAGATATTAAGTAGGATCATTTAGGTGGCGACTAGAAGCCTAACTTCGACAAAATTAGAGATTTCTTTAACATGTTCAGCCATAAGGCGTCTCAGTATGGCATGTTTGCATGATGTTGATCACACCGTCTTCTGATGACTTTATGGTAATTTCCTTCATATTCTGAAAAATGTATTTGTTGTAAATAGTCATTAGGTGGTATTTTCCCTATGTTACTGAACTTTCTAGCCCATTGTTGACAAACAAATGCTTTGAATTAAGTAAAACACTGTTTATTCTTTGTAAATGTCAAAACATGACTCGAACGATTTGTAGCATTTGTTTTCTTCAGCGCTGAATTTTCTTTATGAACTCCCCCAAACCTGGGCCATGTTACTGAAACCATACATGTGAAATGGCCGGTTCTTCTCGACCAATAGGGTGCAGATGGGCAGCCTGGAGCCAAGGGCGAGCAAGGAGATTCTGGCCAGAAGGGTGATGCTGGAACTCACGGCCCTCAGGGTCCCTCAGGAGCCCCAGGACCTTCGGTAATATTCTACTGTCTTTCGTTTGGTGACAAGAAGCTTCAGTGTGGGCCTTCAAGAAATTCCTCCCTGAGATCAATAACGTTCATCTTATCTTATCATTGCTGCCCATTTTGTCATTAGCAGTAGATTTCAATCATGTATGTTAAATAGCCTGGGAAATGTTGTTAATCTGAGTTTTCTCCTTTAATTCAGGGCCCCACTGGTCTTACTGGTTTCAAGGGTGCCCGTGGTGCTCAAGGTGCCCCTGTGAGTCACGTCAGCTTTTCCCACATTATTAGCACACTGTTAACAAAGAAAGTGCCAGTAGATAAGAGCCACATCATTTTTAGGAACTTTTCTCATTAACCAAATTTATGAAAACATGTCAGATTTCCTCTACAATGATCTCTTTGTCTTTACTTAAGATTGCAGCAGGAAGTATTTTAAGGCTGATATTTAAAGCCTAATGTTTCCAATGAACTGACTGGAGTTCAGCATTGCAACCCTATTCTCTTACAAACCTCTTTATTCTAAAGGGTGTAACTGGTTTCCCTGGAGCTGCTGGAAGAGTCGGCTTACCAGGTCCCAGTGTAAGTCCCATGCCGTCGCAGCTCAGGCATACCTCTCTGTTCAGGAAGTGCCACTTTGTTCTGCGCATGCAGCTGGTCTAAGCGACCTTTCTATCCCGAATACACCATTCTGCTGTTGGGACGTGCAGCTTGTCTCTCGATGCATCCTTGTGCTCTTTGTGTTTCTTGTGGAAGTACCGCACTGTTCTGGATGTTGCCCTGGGTGTCATCAATCTGAGCTGTTTTGAAGCAACAGTAATGGCAGTCAAAATATAGACTATGCGTGTTTCGGATAATAAGTAAGATCAAGTTGTAGTGCATATAAAATTTTAAGTGAATGTATTAAATATTAATGACCACTACAATCGAAAGGTATAAAAATAAAAACAGTAATGATGATTATGCGGCTATTAGCAATTTATAATGAATATAACAATTATATATATATATAATTTTTAACAATGCCTAATACATAAGGCTCTAAATTTATGCAAAAGTTGCATATAGGCAACATGAATATTTCAAATTTTACATATTTTTCTCTTATTGACAAGTGAAATGAATAAAAACAGTGTAACTGTCCAATTTGTCTTAATGACTGTACAGTGATAAACAAGAACCAACATATTGTTATGTTATTATAATTATACATAATTTGAATAAAAATCATGCAATTAGTTAAGTATTATATAAATATATGGTTTTTATATTTGCATACTGATTAATATTTGTATTAGACACAAGTTAATTTCATCATATGCATTTTGATTCAGTGTGTGTGACGGTTTCCATATTCTCCTGCTCAGGGTAATCCCGGCTTTGCTGGTCCTGCTGGCCCTGCTGGTAAAGATGGTCCCAAGGGTGTTCGTGGAGACATTGGTCTTGCAGGGAGACCAGGAGAGGCTGGCCTGCGTGGAGCTGCTGGGCCTCCTGGGGAGAAGGGAGAGCCTGGACCCGACGGGCCCCTTGTGAGTTTGCAGCTCCTGGGCTGTGACCTTCACACTGTCATCATCCAGTAGACTGATACAGAAAGCCCTAATCTATTCGCATCACACCAGTAGAAAGATAACATCCCATAAAATACCTGACTTGTCACTTTTCCAGTCACTGAAACCCAAAACTCGCCCTGCTGTAACCCACATATCCCTTATTTCAGGGACCTTCTGGCTCTTCAGGTCCCCAAGGTCTTGCTGGATCTCGTGGAATCGTGGGTCTCCCTGGGCAACGTGGTGAAAGAGGTTTCCCAGGCCTCTCTGGGCCTTCTGTGAGTTTTTTTTTATGTATGCATACAGTATGTTCTATAAAACACTGCAGGCAGTCGTGATGAAATAATCATCCAGTCAAAAACTTGAGAAAAGTCTTAAAAGGACTTCAGAAACCAAATTTATTTTAGAAACAAAATGGCGGATGAAGAAAGCCTGTGCTGGTGAACGTGCTGGCCTGGTTGAGACCAGTGTTTCCCTCTGTAGGGTGAGCCTGGGAAGCAAGGAGGGCTTGGCAGTGCTGGTGAACGTGGCCCACCTGGTCCCATTGGACCTCCTGGCCTGACTGGACCTTCTGGTGAACCTGGGCGAGAGGTCAGAGTTCAAAATACAAATTCTTTATGAATCAGCAGCTTAAAACTATACGAGACAATAAAAGGTGAGTAATGTGATATCTGCTGCTTCTGTTTAACTTGAAAGGGTAACTCTGGTATAGATGGACCTCCTGGAAGAGATGGAGCTGCTGGGCTTAAGGTGAGAATATCCTTCCATCTGCAAGGTAGTGAAAATTACTGATCAACACCATCCAGACCAAGGAACCAAGGTTTTCTGATATTAATTTCCTTTGCAAGCACTCCCACGTAAATGTAAGAGGACAGACACTGATTGATACTAATATTGTGGTTCACTTCATATTGAAATAATGAGTTAGTTACCTATTGATTAAACCAGGCACCTAACAATTGGCCACAAATATATTTGAGAAACATATGAACTAGCAGTGCTGTCCTGGCATTAGATTCATTTTGTGCCTTTTATCCCCCTGCAGGGCGAGCGTGGTAACACAGGTCCTGCTGGCGCCCCCGGTGCCCCAGGCGCCCCCGGTGCCCCTGGTCCTCTCGGCCCTCTGGGCAAACAGGGAGACAGAGGAGAGGCTGTGAGTCTATATTTTGTTTAACTGAGGAATAACTCCAGGTCTGCAAACATGCTATGAAGACCTGCTGAATATACAAATATTATTTTAACAAATCATCATTTTATCATCCATGAATCTTTGGTATCAGTGTCTGATGGATTCCAGTAGGATTCCAAATAAGTAGTTAATTTTCCAAATAAGCAGTTTTGTTAATATTATGTATTTATTATGTTTTCCTCACTTTTCCTTCGCACCTTCTGCCTCACAGGGATCCCAAGGAACAGCAGGGCCTCCAGGCTCAGCCGGGGCCAGAGGAATGGCTGTGAGTGTTTTTACCCTTCGCTGCGATAGCGCCCCCTCCTGTCTGCAGGCGCGCAGCTCCTGTGCTCCCCTGTTAAGCTACACACACCGGTCAGAAACAGGCACCATGTCCATCGCACATATTAACCTGTCCCCACACGGTCAGATCACATCATCATTTTTTTCATACATTATCTGTACATTGACTTTGCCGCCACAAATATTCAGCCTGTACATATATTGTAATTATTTAAAAGGGGAATATAATATGCGAACACGTTTTGGCAAAATGAATCTTGCAGCCGCAGAGTTGATTTCACCTTTTTTTTCCAGGGACCTCTAGGCCCCCGTGGAGACAAGGGTGAGGTTGGTGAGGCAGGTGAGAGAGGACTGAAGGGACACCGAGGATTCACCGGCCTGCAGGGTCTGCCTGGATCTCCCGTAAGTCATCTGCTCCCCTGACCTCTTCTTAGGGATCGATCCAGGTCAGATGCCTGCAAGCTCTGCATGGAGCTGCTGATGACAGAGGAGAGTGATTCACCGACTCTTACCGGCTTAAAACCCATGCAGCTTACGGCAACTGGCAAATATGACTGAAAATAAGTAAATACGTGTAAAAATAAACTTCGGGCAGCCGTACACCCGACAGCGCTACGCTACCTCGTAAACGCTGCATGGCGCAAGATAGTTGCCGCAGGAAAGTAGTGAACTGTCTGGCAGCATGACCATCCCAGCTGCACACGCACCTCCCTGTCTCATTCTCACACCGAAAGTCAGCGCGATTGTCCTATTCCAACATACATCCATACTGAGGTATCACCTGTCTGTCGGAAGGGAACCCAGTTGTAAGTCAGGGACAGTCTGTATTAGAGATATTATTCAAGCAGCGCGCACCTTGTTCTTCTATTATATGCATCTGTTTTGTCTCATGCTTGCAATTATATTGTCCTGTTCATGTTTTTAAAAACACATAATTCAATTCAACCATTCAGCAAAATACTTGCATGTTGCTAGTCTGTGTTCCTCACTGGAAGAGTGGTGAGTGGGAGACTTAGGGAAAACCGAAGTAATGTACAGTAACCAGTGGCCATAGCATTACTTTAATCTGACTCCAGTTTTAGTTCTCCTCTGTTGTGAGTAGCCTTGATCTGTTGTTGTAGGAACTGCTGCAATTTTTGGTCTCTGTTAAATGTAATGATATTTGTGAAACGCCTTCCTGTTTGCTGCCATTTCTTGTTTGTTTTCAAAAGGGTCCTGCTGGTGAGCTGGGTTTGACTGGGCGTGCAGGTCCTGCTGGAGCTCGGGTGAGTGGATCGACCTCCTCGTCTTTCTTATAATCACCTCTTGTTTTTTTGATAGTGGTTGTAGATGTAAGCTATGAAAATGGCCCTTTCCTAGGGATCTCCCGGTGCTGTCGGACCCCAAGGAAAGGATGGAGCTAATGGACTGCCAGGTGCTCTTGGCCCTGTGGGACCTCGTGGACGTTCAGGAGAGAATGGGGCCACTGTGAGTTGAGATATCCTGCCTGTGCTGTTTTACATTCTTCTTGTTGAGACGGTTTCATGGACTTTGGCAAATTGATAAAAAAAACATTCAGCATTTTCTCATACTGACTTTAACACTCTTGATCTACTTTGTAAGGGTCCTCCTGGGCCTCCTGGTATTCCCGGCCCCCCCGGCCCCCCCGGACCTGGCATCGACATGTCTGCCTTCGCAGGCTTCTCCCAAGAGAAGGGCCCAGATCCCCTGAGGTACATCAGGGCAGATGATGCATCCAGCCCACTGCGAGAGCATGACGTAGAGGTGGAGGCCACCCTCAAGTCTATTAACAGCCATATTGAGAACATCATGAGCCCAGATGGCTCCAGGAAGAACCCAGCACGCACCTGCAGGGACATTAAACTGAGCTACCCTGACTGGAAGAGTGGTGAGTGGGAGACAGAGCAAAGACCAAAGTAAACAAAATGAAACATACAGTGCCCCCCCCCCCCCCATGGTAATTTTTCTGTATGTCGGACTTCAGCAAACATGTTACATAGTCATAACAATTCACTTTTCCAGGCAATTACTGGATTGACCCCAACCTCGGCTGCACCTCGGACGCCATTAAGGTTTTCTGCAACCTAGAGACAGGTGAGACCTGTGTCTCCCCCAATAGTCGCAGCATCCCGCGCAAGAACTGGTGGTCTAGCAAGACTAAAGACCGCAAACACGTCTGGTTTGGAGAGACGATGAATGGAGGCTTCCGTGTAAGTAGAACTTGACAATGCTAAACAAGCCTATCATATAATATCCAAGTTAAATACTAATCTCATATCCAGTATTTGGTTCAAGTTTTTCCCCATGAGCAGTAAAACACAAACTCTCATTGGCTCCCCCTGCAGTTCAGCTATGGCGGTGAGGACCTGCCAGCTAAAGCTGCCGAGATCCAGTTTACGTTCCTGCGTCTGCTTTCCAATGAAGCCTCCCAGAATGTCACCTACCACTGCCGCAACAGTGTGGCCTACCTGGACCATGCCACCGGCAACCTGAGGAAGTCCCTACTGCTACAGGGCTCTAACGAGGTGGAGATCCGTGCTGAGGGCAGCAGCCGCTTTGCTTACAGTGTTCTGGAGGACGGCTGCACGGTGAGCTCCACACTCCCCCACATCCATCATAATTTGCCATTTGTTTGCGGGTACCTTTACTGCCACTGCCTAACTCGCTGACAGGCCAGCATATGCTTACTGAGCACACATGCCGGCTGCCTGGCTCCAGAGGAGCTTTGGCATAGACGCTCTTTCAGACAGTGTGTTGTAACAAAACATTGCCTCTCCTTTCTCCAACAGAAACACACTGGGAAATGGGGCAAGACTGTAATTGAGTACAAATCGTCGAAGACCTCGCGTCTTCCTATTGTGGACATTGCCCCTATGGACATCGGTGGTGAAGACCAGGAGTTTGGAGTGGACATTGGTGCTGTCTGCTTCTTGTAAAGAAGAATGGTGAAATATCAAAAGCCATGAAGTAACTCAAATAAGAAACCAAACGCATATTCCAAAACAAGGCAGAGAAATAAGAAAAATAAGTTTTTTTTTTTTTTTTTTTGGAAGAAAAAGGACTATCCAAGTTGTGCTTCTGGGATATCTGCACTGAATGGCAGCAGCACATTCAGCTGTGCGTCGACTGTCTGCTGTGCGTCAACATCAACATCCCCAGTGCAACTCCTGCAGTCCACTTGTGGGTTCCACGGCCCCCCCCCCAAACCCCACACTGGGCAGACGTTACGCAGACAGGAAGGACACATAAAAATGTGTGAAGCACCTGGGAAAAACAACACAACTTGGTGTTATTTATTGTCAAATCTTTCGGGTCAAAGTTGTGGTTAAACTGGAACACTAAGAATCAATAGTCAACACATACTTCATTACTTTCGTGTATTCTTATTTGCCCAGCTTGTGAAACGTACCAAACCTCCAGCCAAAAGGAAACCAGTGATCTACCAAGTTTTAGAAAATGTTCTTGTTTCCCTTTTTACAGCCGTCTAAAAACTTTTCAGTGGTGCTACTGTTGTAACACAGCCTGCAATTTTAAACCACCAGATATCAATCAATATTTACTTATGTGTATTTATATACACATTATGGAAAATATATGTCAGTCTGGGACTTTTATGTTGTTTTTCCGATTTTCCAATTCCCCACAATAAAGAACATTTTTATACATCTTGTAAGTGAAACCCCCATATTCTTATTAAATATGATTATAATGAATTTTGTTTTGTTTTTATTTTGATTACCAAAATTGTTTTTAAAGCTACCTCAAATTTTGGAAAAAGAAAACAACAGACCTTGCTGTTTGCTGCATTCACACAAGTATCCCTAGTGAGTCTGGGAACTGTTGAGGCAAGTTTGGACTTTGCTGTCCCGTCTTCAGAGGTATGTTCTCTAGAACTGAATCCCTGCCGTCCGAACCCAAAGCCCCCCATGCTGTGTTGATGGGGGCACACACGCTACCCCAGCCAGTGCCAGCGCCCCCACTGGTGTAGTCACTCCCACCATTTCATTCTGCTTTGCCCAGGTAGGATGGGCCTCTGTGTGAGGGAGTGTATATTTTTATTATTATTGTGAACATTGTTTTGTTGTGGTTTTAATGTAAATTGGAAATAAAAAGAGAAACGATTTACGATGAAGTTCGTTTTTAACTGAATTAAATCAGAAATACACCGACGTAGAGGTGCAGTTGACTGGTGCTCCTCCTTTTTTTTAATCCATTCATCCATGGAGGCAGCTGACAGACCATGGAAAAGACGCCTGCCCATCACAGGATGCACAGAATCAATATGGGTCATTCAGAAACACCAGTTAATGTAACAGTGGGAAACCAGACTCCTGAGAGGAAACCCATGCAAATGCAGTAAGACAAGGTACAAGGTGGCACTGGAGAGAGGCGGTGGGTTGTGTGCTGCTCAAGCAAGTAAGAATTTCATTGTAGTTTTCTGCATCCAGTGCTTAAAACTTGATGATATATATCTTGAAACTTCATATCAGGAGCTAGAAGTGGGAATGAAGCACAACCTGACAGATAAGGAGACAGTATTACCACTGAACCACCTCTTACTTTCTGCTAGAAGAGATGAGTATGAAGTCCTATGGGATTTATTCTTAGTCACAGACTTGTAGCTTAGCACAGCACACACCGTTACCAACCAGACATTGGGTTTGTACTAACCTGCTCTTCACAGCTCAGACATAATTCTCTGTCTAACCCGTTTTACAAACATAATATGGTCACCTCCATCTCATGCTTCAGTCATAAGATCTGAATGCTGCTCTGGATCATCCATCTTAAAACCACGTATGCAGGGTCATGGGGGGCCTGGAACCTGCCTTGGACTAATTCTCAGCATCTCGATTGGACAGTTTTCTCACAGAGATGGTTACTGTCTACAGAGATAGTTATCTACAATATGATGGCTGAAACACCTTTAGCTGAAGTTTTGAAGACAGGTATTTGTACTGAGGGCTGAGAGAAGAAGGTTGGCAGCTCAACACACCAGAGACACAAGCTTGTTGGATGATGGACAGTATGATTTCTATTCCTGTGCTTCTAGTGTCTCTAACTTAGGTGTTTACAGGCTTAACTCGGCCTGCTTCCAACAGCAATAGTTATAAACCAGAGGCGATTGTTACTTACACCATTTGGAAAACATAAAGCTCCACAAAAGTTCTATCCACGTATCCCAGGCTGCACAAGACACAAGGTAGGTTCACCTCGAACAGGATGCCGACCTATCGCAGGGTACACACATAAATACTCTTACACACATCCAATCATGCACCCCCAGCAATTTAGACAAGACAATTAGCTTATCTTTAGATTGCAGGAGGAAATGTGTGCGGCACAGAGAGAACATGTGCAAAGTCCATACACATCAAGTGAAGATATGCAGCCTGGAGATGAGGCAATAGCGCCACCCACTGAGCCATTACAAAAGACAGCTGGTTTGACCATAAAGCACCTGCCATCCTCTCTCAGCCCAACCACTTTTAACAAAATGACAATAAATAATACAACATCAAAAGTGTAATTACAATGCATCACACAACTTTGATTCTTAGATTGGCTCGCCAGTTACATGGTACTAATAGATATTACTGAGCTATCTGTGTGACCCTATGTGCCAGGACCCTCACAACCCAGAGACGCAAGCAGACACCCGCAGCATTTACCCGCGAAACACCAGCATGCCATCACCTGCTAGGCCAACAATATTGCTTGCCAGGAGACCCTTTCAACTCTATCCATTTTTGAGTGTTTATCCCTTTGATTTTAGGCTTATTACATTGTTTGTACATGAGTTACTCAAATATGCTTTATGGTTCTGTTTTCAGGACATTCTGGGCTACTCAGGTATGTCATAATTTGATGTGTAAATGCTGACACAGTCTTGATATCATCCTTTTATGACAAAAAACTACTTATTGAAATGTCTATTTGAATTTCTCAATTTTCAGTCTCTTCTAATATGAAAGTTTGCAGACACTACAAATACAATCTTATAAATGTTGAGATTAGAGTCCCTATGATGTGGAAATGCAGGGGCTTCATAGTTTATGATCCACTGAATAAACACCAGCAACAGTTTTAGTCTAATGCTGAACGTTTATTGCTATCGGTTTTTTTTCGTTTTTCTGCCTATATATGGTACTGTATGATTGGTAAAGTAAAATTTAAGAATGAAACTTTTAGTTGGCATTTTAGCCTCAAACAACAAACCACTACAGCACACCATGTTTACATGTGGGAGGTGTTCATATTACATGCTGGGTGGGTTATATTTCAACCATTTTGACAGAGCTTCACATTTAATGTGCATATACTAACTTTTGTGAATAAATATTACAAAAATATCAATTCTCTTCCTAACAGAATGCTGCATATTGTTATTTATAAGCCTATAAATTATAAAATAGGTATTTTTTCCCCAGAAGGGTACTACGTGGATCATTACGAAAGGGCATATGCACTTTGTTTCCGTCTAATATGAATAGTATGTTTCATGGATTATTACGGGTGGGTTTTGGTGGAAAATGTGTAAAACATGCCTCATTGCAGACAGGATTACTCGAATACTTTAGTGCACAATGTTGCAACTTGGAGGACCAGATCGAGCAAGTTCTCTCGATCGCAAAAGATATGACTCATGTCCGTGCGTTATATCTATCCAAAGTTACGAGCCTGAGATTAATGGGAGCGAACAGCAACACGTTTTGCATTTGTTGGCTTCTAAAGGTTAAGGCAATCAGCTTCATGTAAATATTCCAGTTAAAAATAAATAAATAAATAAATAAAAATCACTAACTGGAAACGTGTGGCAGAACAAAGAAAAACACTTTATTACAGCTGTGCAAAAGCAGATGTTACTGACAGTAGGTAATACAGAGCTCCAGGAGATGCCAGGCCGGGCTTTAGGAGGAGAGCTCCGTGTACAGCAGCCGGCCTCCATTCTCCGTGACCTGATTCTGCGAGAAGGGCAGTGTTGGACTGCCCCGGAGGCCGGGCAGGGGCCTCCCCACACTAACAAAGTAGAAGGGCACGTGAGAGATCCTTCCATTGGACCAGCACTGTAGAGGGAACACAATGACACTCATCATAAGGCACCTTTTCAGGTTATGTAGAGAAGAGTGTAGAGTCAAAAATGTGGTGGGTGAGTCTTACCACGGTGAGCAAGGCTCCATTTGCAAAGTTGGGGTGGAACTGCATAAGCCTGGGCTCTGCCCCTGACTCTCCCTGAACAAAGCCACTGCAACAGACACATGAACACAACCTCTACCAGCTGTCGTATGTGCATTAAAGCAAGAACCATCTTCGTATAAACAAGTGCACTCCCACCCATATGGATCAGACACTGACCATGGGAGGAGCTCGAAGATGGGACTGGTGCGGGTTTTAAACACTGCAATCATTGGAGGGTGGTCCAGTGTCTCTGGGTCACCTACAGATACACAATAGGTAGGAGCCATCAGCAGCCAAAGACATTATAAGACAGACGGAAGGTGCCGCTGTTGGTGACCCTGTGATGGTTCAAGCACGAGTGCAGCTTCACCTTTCAAGAGCACGGCTAGTCTCTCCCCTTGTGGGTCCCAGGCCATACTCTGCACCTCTCCCCCAAGCCTAGAAAGAGAGCATTGCAGAGTGGATGAGCAGTGACCGAGATCAGCACTGGTACTGCGGCTGAATGGAAGCAAGGCAATAGGAGAGAACAGGAGGCAGATCCAATGGACAGGGCACCACGTGAAGCTTTAAGGTGACCTCAGCTCGATACCAACCATCTGGTGGCAAAACGAGGTTCTAACATCCATTCAATAGGGGAGGGTGTCAAGCTCAGAGTGACAAGCATGACAACAGAGATCAGCATTAAAAGAACTGAGACACCAGACACTCCTAACAAAACCCAGAGCAGGATCAAGAGGCTGCCGCTTTACTCTTGGGCATTTGCAGTGCCTAGATTCCAGTTAACGAAAGGCTATAAAAAGGTACAGCGGTGTAAGGTTGAGCCAGACATTGCTGTGGATAAGAGCATTTGTAATGTAAATGAAAAGGCTGTCCTGCCCACTCACCTGATTTCACCCTCTGGGGTAGAGAATGTGGTCTCAGACAAGTCAGCAACTATTACTGCTGCTTTGGGTCCCCCAGTCTGCCCCTGTGGCTCACCTTGGAAGAAGAGACACCAAGAAAGTTAACTGGAATGTGCTACCTTCAAGAAATGATGAGCAGAGACACCCGTGCATATTTCTCTCAGGTCCAATGCCGGCCTACCTGGCACAGAACTGAAGGTTAAGGCATAAATGACCATCTCCCCCTGGACAGTGAACAGCAGGCGACTTCCATCTGGGCTCCAGCAGCCGGTCTGACTCAGACACAGACAGTGGTTAAATTTCACGCTACCTAAACTGCCGCACTTCGCCATCGCTGTGGTTCTCTTGTCACCTGGCAACGTCCCTTCAGGCAGGGCCAGTGTTCACACGTCCACATCCTTGTCTCCCAGATCCTGCAGAAGCACAGCGTGTGTGACTTATGCCGCTGCTCAATGAGGACGGATTAAAGGAACTGATGCCACTTCATGATGCCAACCTGAAGAGCGAGGATGGAGTGGCGGCCAGTACCCGACTCCCGTCTGGTGCCCAAGAGAGAAGGGTGACCCCTCCGCCTCCCACACG